TTTCTTCTTTGAAGAAAATGGAATGTACAACAGAAGAAGAGAAGAGGCAAGGGTCAAAGTTGTTTCCGTATAAAGTGTGATAAAGAAATATGGCCTGATCGGGAGGGGCGGCTCTTAATGGCGGCGGGAAAAGGAAATATGATACTTGATATGGTTTTATGCTTTTTGAACATTATCTCCTTTTTATTGGCTTAGAGGACATGGACCGCCTTGTTTAGGGTCACTTTGTAGAGCTTCTCGACCACTACTGCTTGCATCCCAAAACTTGCACTTAATTCGCTTCAAGCTGATCATTTCTGATCGATTTGAATCTTGGCCTATAGGGCTCTTTGAGCTCTACAGAGTGGTAACAAATTTGGCTAGAAAAATAGCTGAGATTTGTGTCATTTTGTAGAGTTTTTCGAGCCCTACATATTCCTGCTTTAATCCCTTCGAAATTTTGAGTTGACTACTCGGTTATGAGAAATGGTCCCTGACGTAGCCCCTTTAGTCTCGATATTTTTGGACCTGATAGCTTGGATATGATAGAAGAACAGGAGAGCTAGAAAATGATCCAATTTGGAATACTGTATCTTGCCTATGAACAAAGTTACAAGGCATAAAACGTTGACCACGTTGCTCGGATGGTTTTTGGCTCGTAACTTTGCTCATAGACTAGATACAGTATCCCAAATAGTGCCGTTCTGTAGCTCTTGAGTTGTTCTACCGTATCCAATTTGATTGGTCTGAAAATATAGACCATGAAAAGAGTTATGAGAAGGACCATTTTAGTCTGTTTCTATCTCTTTTTGACCCAATTTTGGGCCGCTTCTAGCTTTGTTTAACATAGTTTAGACCCATTTTCGTAGGTGTTGATTCACTGAAAAACACGTTTTCCCTCTTCTCCTTCCTCTTAAAATCGTGTGTGACTCGTTTTGTACCTCTTGTTCTTTTACAATTGCCTCGTCCCCTCGAATCCAATTTAATTTTATATTAGAAGGAAAAGGACTGCCTGCTGCCAACCAAACATAAAGTAGACCCCACCCTCTTCAAAACGCGTACAAAAACAGAGAAATGGTTATCACAGACACGGCTGCGTGGGTACAGTCTCAATCGAGGTTTGTTTTGGTTTTTTGTACTTCCTTTTTTGTACTTTTTTGTGACCAAGAGGAGCTGCAGATGACGTTGAGAAGTGGGGTATATAAGAAGGACGGACGGGCTGCCAAAACAATTGAAACAGGGGGGGGGGGGGGAACATGGGCAAAATTTCATAATATTTGTTTTTTTTTGGTGCGCAAAAGCATACACACAGACGGTGTTTTCTATTACCTGGATGAGTCATAGGGAATTCCTCAATACAAAAGTTTCTCAGTCCCCCATCAACCAACTCCTTCTTCCAGAAGTATTGTCGATTTCATTTCGGCACCAACCGCCAACTCGTCGTCCCTTCCACCGTACGTTCAAATCGGAGCCGCCGCCGCCGTCACAATGGGTCTTGGCTATTATCTGTCGAAGGGCGTCTCGTCTGGATCGTCTTCCGGATCATCGGGTGCCTATACCTTCAGCGGAGTGACCTATTCGGGAAATGTCAAGCCACTGGTGGATCCGATGAATCAGAGTCGTGTGTTGCCGGTGAGCTAGGAGCTTGAGAGCTTTATAAAGACAAAATCTAGCGAAAATTGGACATTTACGACTTAAAATTGATCTAAATTGACCTAATTTTTTTCACCCCAAAACTTTAAAACTTTTTTCACGCCAAAACGTTAGAATTTTGAATTCCACGTGTTCGACGCGAAAAATTATCAATTTTGAATTTTTACGTGATAACGTGAAAATACGTGAAAAGTTACATTTTTACGTGAAAAATAATTTAGGTGAGAACGTGAAAAACGTGGATTTTCTGAATTTGTACGTGAAAATTGGAATTTCACGTGTAAAATTTTTTTTTCGCCTAAAATTGATTTTTACGTGAAAACGTGAAAATACGTGTAATTTTGGATTTTTTACGTGAAAAAATAAAATTACACGTGAAAATTTGGTTCTGTGAAAACGTGAAAATATGTGGAATTTTGAAACTTTTATGTGAGAATTTGAAATTCCACGTGGAACATAATTTTTCACGTTAAAATCGAATGTCGCGAAAACGTGAAAATACGTGGCAATTTGAATTTTCACGTGAAAACGTGGAATTTCGGATTTTTACGTGAAAAATTGAAATTCCACGTGTAAATTTTTTTTTCGCCTAAAATGAATTTTCACGTGAGAACGTGGAATTTTTATATTTGCGTGAAAAAACGTTTTCACGTAAAAAATTGATTTTATGAGAAGACGTGAAAAATACGTGAAATTTTGAATGTTTACGTGAAAAACATGCAAAATTTGAAAATCTCGAATTTAGTCGGATTTGGACCCAAAAGCAAATTTTCCCATTTTCCAGGACGGTTCCCGCGTCAGCGCCTACTTGAAAGACGACAAACTGCAAGCGTTCTTGTTCGAAGACGCCCGCACACTCTACCAAGGCGTCCGCCGTGGAGCCCGCCTCTCGAACAATGGCCCGATGCTCGGACGACGTGTCAAACAGACGGACGGCTCGATTCCGTACGTTTGGGAGACGTACAATCACATTCTGGAGCGTGCCGACAATGTGTCTGTCGCGTTCCGTGAGCTCGGCATTCCAACTGGCAACGAGGAGAACATTGGAATCTACTCGAAGAATCGTCCCGAGTGGATTGTCACCGAATTCGCCACGTACAACTACTCGAATGTGATTGTTCCGATCTACGAGACACTCGGCTCCGAAGCATCGGTGTTCATTTTGAATCAGGCGGAAATTAAGATTGTAGTCTGTGATGACAATGCAAAGGCTACAGGTTGGTGGTATTTTTGATTTATTGATAGGGTTGATAAGACTGTTATCAGAATTAGTATTTTGAATTGAATTTCCAAACCTAATAATCTGAAGTTCCTTGTTTTCAGGTCTACTAAAGTTCAAAGAGCAATGCCCCAGCCTCAAAACACTGGTTGTTATGGAACCAATCACCGACGAACTCCAAACATCGGCCACCGCACTTGGAGTAAAAGTTCTGACATTTGAGGATCTGGAGAAGCTTGGAAAGAACGCGAAGACTCGTCCAGCACACATTCCGCCGACTCCAGAAGATTTGGCAACGATTTGCTACACATCTGGAACCACCGGTACACCAAAAGGAGTCATGCTCACACACGCCAACGTCATTGCGGACGGTGTCTGTATGGATTTCTTCAAGCACAGTGGAATCGCATCGACTGACTCTATGATCAGCTTCCTTCCATTGGCTCATATGCTCGAGAGAGTTATTGAGAGCGTTTGCTTCTGCGTCGGTGCCAAAGTTGGATTCTATCGAGGAGACATTCGGGTGCTGGCTGAGGATATCAAGGAATTGCGGCCGACGGTTGTGCCAGTGGTCCCACGGGTGCTGAATCGGCTCTACGATAAAGTGATGTCCGAGGTCAACAAGTCGACGCTGAAGAAGTTGTTGTTTGATTTCGCTATCTCGTACAAGGCGAGAGATATGGCAAAGTGAGTGTGGGTTGAATTGGGTGGGAAAAGGGATAGGGATAGGAATGGAGACTTCGACCTGTGATCTATGTTCCCTCAGCTACAGATTCTGGCTTGGCTTGGCTTGGCTTGGCTTGGCTTGGCTTGGCTTGGCTTGGCTTGGCTTGGCTTGGCTTGGCTTGGCTTGGCTTGGGCTAGGGCTAGGGCTAGCTATGGATTCTAGCTACACCTTCTAGTTACATCTAACCAATAAATTTTAGCTTCAACATTCGCAACGACGGCTTCTTCGACAACATTGTGTTCAAAAAGATCCGCGAAGGATTCGGAGGACGTGTCCGTCTGATGATCACTGGCTCCGCCCCGCTCTCCACCAACGTACTCACCTTCGTACGCGCTGCGATGGGATGTGTAGTCGTTGAGGGATACGGACAGACGGAATGCGTCGCCGCTTGCACTGTCTCGATGGAAGGTGACTCGTTGGCTGGACACGTTGGCATGGTGATCCCATCGTGCCAGATTAAACTGGTCGACGTCCCAGAACTCAACTACTACGCCAAGGATCAGGCTGGAGAGGTTTGCGTGAAGGGACACATCATCTTCAAGGGATACTATAAGAATGAGCAACAGACGAAGGAGACGATTGACTCGGAAGGATGGTTGCACACGGGAGACATTGGCAGATGGACGCCCGAGGGAACGCTGAAGATTGTGGATCGCAAGAAGCACATCTTCAAACTGTCCCAAGGAGAATACGTGGCACCGGAGAAGATTGAAAATATCTATGTGCGGTCCAAGTACGTTGCTCAGTCGTTTGTTCATGGAGAATCGCTGAAGACGTGTCTCATTGCTGTTGTGGTGCCTGATGCGGAGGTAAGGGAATTCCCGAAAAATTCAAAGTTGTCGAATTTTGATAAAAATTGATGTGACGGCCTGAAATAACCTAAAAATCATTTTCCCAGCAATAATTTTCGAAAAACTCGAAAATTGAAATTTTTATTTTTGACGATTTTTTTCAAATTTTCAAAAATTCTCAAAGTTGTCAAATTTTGATAAAAATTGATATGACGACCTAAAACGGTTCGAAAAGCAATGTTCTGAAAGAAAATTCCAGAAAAGTCGAAAATTGGAAAATCCGATTTTTGACCCATTTTAGGCCGTCATATCGATTTTTATCCGAATCGGACGATTTTCAAAAAAATAGGATTTCAACCTAATTTTACTATTTTCCAGGTTCTCGTTCCAGCGATGGCCGACCAAGGAATCAAGGGAAGTCTCGAGGAGTTGTGCAAGAATGAGACGGTCAAAAAGGCGGTGCTCGACGACATGGTGGCCGTCGGCAAAAAGGCGGGACTCTTCTCGTTCGAACAAGTCCGTGACATCTACCTATCGGCTGAGCAATTCAGTGTGGAGAACGACTTGTTGACGCCAACACTGAAGAGCAAACGCCCGAAGCTGAAGGCTCACTACGCGAAAGAGCTCGAGAGAATGTACTCGAAACTTTCATAAATGTTCCCCTTTTTCCTCCTATGCCTTCTCCTCCTCCTATGCTCAAATTTTGCACAAGAATTCCAATAACTTGATTTTCATATAACGGGTAATTGCTCTCAAATTTTTTTTGTTTTTGTTTCTCGTCGTCTTTTCGGTTTACCCCTCTTCCTCCAAAAATTGTTTTATTCAAAAAAAGCCCCGAAAATCCCCTACCCCCCCCCCCCCTCGACCCATATGTATTTAAATTTAAATATAGCGTAGAGAATAGTGGAAATATATTTATTTAAATTGGTTAATATATTACACGTGGCACCCATCCCCCTCCCCACCCCCTTTTACCGGCATTTGTTCTGTGATTGTGTGTTTTATTTGATTGCTGAAAACAAAAAGTACCCATACATAAAAAGAAGATAATCTAGAAAACGATTTTTTTTGGACATTTTTTCAAAAATGAGTTCTGATCAAGATGCCAAAGTTGAAGCTCCTGATGTTCTACGATCGCCGACGCCGTCAATTCGCAACGAGTTCTTTGAAGCGGACGTGCCTGGATTTGAGTTTGAGCTGGAAGAGAATAATGATTCCACGTCATCTGACGCGTCGGATGGCATTCCAGACTTTGAGAGTAGCCGCCACCCTCATGTGAAGCTGTTTGTTGTGGTGGGTTTAAGTACGAACTGCGCGGTGTGTTCCCTTGTGTGCACGCATGGCCGACTGGCTAGCGGTCCTCGTTTTAGGGCGCGAGCTCGAGAGTTCGAGTCCACCTGTGGCTAAAATGTTTGTAGTTCCTTTTTGCAGTTTCATTTTCAGGTCTCGGCGATTCTAGCGAATATGTGCATTATCTACAAAGCGTTTCTTGATATTCCACGAGAATACAAGTCAGCTATTTGCATCTTTTTCGATTTCGGCAATTGTCTAGATCTGGACCGGGATGTTCCAGTTATGGAGGTTATCGGATTTTAAATTTCTAGAGATAGAAAATATAGAATTTCAGATTATCGAATTTTTGGCCCGTACACAGCTGGAAGTCGTTTTCCCACTGACAACAATAGTTGTGTTTTTCATCACTCAACTTTCGATTTCGCTGATGCCGGGATCGGCATTTAAGATTCGGAATTCCGTTCCTGGGATTACAAAATATGTCTATTTGACTTTGGTAATTAGCACTAATTAGTCTTAGTTATTGGAAAAATTCCAAAAATTTTAGTTCCTCCACTGCCTTACGAGTTTTCTGACATCCATCTCAATGCTTCATCATCTGGGAAATGCTCAACAAAGGGAATTCTGGACCGAATATCTTACTGTATCTGGATTATGTCTTTTTTGGCTATTCCAACTTTTCAACATGACTATTTTCACTCGTCTCACATCGATGAATTTTATTCGTGCTAGAGAGAACTTCAATAGAAGAATTGGTGTTGAGGCTTAGAATGAATTTTTTTTGTTTTTCTGTTGTTGTCAAAGTCTACAGTACCCGTCAAAAAAAATAGCAAAAATATAAGAATTTTTCGAAAAATACAGTACCCCACAAAAATATGTATCATTTTTAGTTTAAAATAGTCAACTTTAAAGTCGTACAAAGTATGATCCAAATTTTTTTATGATTTGTCCAAAAATATTCATTAAATAAAAAAGATCATCTAGAAAAAGAAATCCATTTCCAATTTTAATAAATGAGTTCTGATGAAGATGCAAAAGTTGAAGCTCCTGATGTTCGACGATCACCGACGTCGTCAATTCCCAACGAGTTCTTTGAAGCGGACGTCCCTGTATTTGATTTTGAGCTGGAAGAGAATATTGACATCTGACGCGCACACGTCATCTGACGCGTCGGATGGCATTCCAGACTTTGAGAGTAGCCGACACCCTCATGTGAAGCTGTTTGTTGTGGTGGGTGCAAGTACGAGTTGCGCGGTATTCTCCATTGTGTGCGCGGGTGGCCGACTGGCTAGCGGTGACAGTTTCGGAGCGAGAGCTCGCAAGTTCGAATCCACTAGGGGCTATAATTTTTATATTTTTTTTTGTAGTTATTTTTTCAGGTCTCGGGGATTCTAGCGAACTTGTGCATCATCTGCAAGGCGTTTCTGGATTTTCCGCGCGAATTCACAGCGACAACATGTGTGTTTTTTCATTCTCAAAAATGCCTCGATCTGGACCGAGATGTTCCAGTTATTGAGGTTGTCAGATTTTAAGTTTCTGGAAAAAAAATCTGGAATTTCAGATGATCGAATTTTTGGCCCGTACACAGCTGGAATTTGTGTTTCCTCTGGCCACGATAGTTTTGTTTCTTATCACTCAACTTTTTATTTCTTTGGGACCGGGATTGGCATTTTGGATTCAAAATCCCGTTCCTGGGATTACAAAATATGTCTATTTGACTTCGGTAATTAGCAGTAATTAATCATAATGAGCCTCTGATGGTAATTTTAGTTCGTTCACTTCCTTTCAAGTTTTCTGGCGTCCATCACAATGCTTACACATTTGGAAAATGCTCAGCAAACTGAAATCTGGACCGAATATCTTACTGTATCTGGATTGTGCCTTTTTTGGCTATTCCAACTTTTCAACATGACTGTTTTCACTCGTCTCACATCGATGAACTTTATTCGTGCTAGAGAGAACTTCAATAGAAGAATTGGTGTTGAGGCTTAGAATAAATCGTTTATTTTTACTTTTATTTTTAAATGTTAAATAAATCCGTATGGTCTGTTTTGCTGACTAGTACATCTTTTTTTAAACAATGAATCTGCATGTTGCAGTCCTACAGTACCCGTCAAAAAAGATTGCAGATTTTGACTGGTGAAAAATATTCAACTTTTAAGTCTTGCAAAGTATGGTCCAGAATGTTTCAATTCGTCTGAAAATTTCAGCTCACTCTAAACAAGACTAGAACTTCATTTTTATAGTTGACAACGTTTTTTTCTAAAATTCAGCCCTAGAGAGACATGCCAAAATGAAGCTCTTGTCTTGATTAGTATACTGTAAAAATTTGAAAGAACTCAAAAAAATCTGACCATGTTTTGCATGACCTTAAAGTCGACTATTGGGAAACGGAAAAATGTGATATAATTTTTGTTGGGTACTGTAGTTTTCTGAAAATTTTCAGAATTAGCTTTAGACATGCCAAATCTTCTGATAGATCTAATTCAGTTTGAAACTGCACAAAATTGTTGTCCAGCAGAGCGCAGTTGCACATTTTTTGAATGAACTCTGAAAATCCCAACGAAAAATTCTTGAAATTTTTGAAAATCTAAAAATTTTTTTTTCGAATTTCCCAGATGTTTTCTTATTTTCATTCTTGCTTTCCATGTAGGCTACAACCCCATTTTTCCTTGTGCCTAAATTTCTATTTTTTCCACTTGTTTAAAACGAAAATTTTAAAAGATTTTTTCTCGGAAAATTCCTGTCTGTGCTCGAAAAGAAACTTGTTATTTTTTGTTTGTTTGATTGTGTGATCCTTTAGATTTTTGAAAAAAACACATTTTGCAAACTCCCGGAATTTATTTTTTAAATGAAAGTCAGTCTTTTCAAATTCCTCTACGTATTAAAGACTTTTTCGGAAAGTATGCACTTCGACGTTATGGTGTACAGTACTACCAAACGAACCACCTGTAGCCGCGTAGCTTGCAGCGCTTGGAAATCACGTCCGAACTGTAGCTTGCAGCGCATCTGAAATCACGTCCGAACTGTGTCATGTTTATACTCATTTCAAAGCTCACAAAACGGTAAATTCATAAATTTAAATTTCATAAAACTAGGTTGAAAAATACCGTAAAACCTCTAATAGAACGACACCCGGATCGTCCACTTTGAGCCTAT